CATGAATTCATAAGTTTCAGAGCTCGCTCATCATTTGGCTTTTCAAATTCATGAACGTCAGAAAATCTACCAAAAGCCAAGCAAGCTCAATGAGTTACACTCGCAACATAGAATAATTAGTTGATTAGTAATAAAATTGTGTCTTCCTCCTGAAAATGCATTTTAAGATTCAAGAAATAGAGAACACGCCCTAGACTAAAGCAACCAAATCTAACAGGTCAGCGAAAGAAGTATACCATTTCATGATGTAGCTGAATCCTAGGGAGTCTAAGGCTTCCATGCAGTAAAATATCTCAACAGGATTACATGAATTTAAGACAACACAGTAAAGAGTATTCTTACCTGTGAAAATGACAGCCATCAATCCTGACCACAACCCAAGTCAAAGGTAACAGTTTGTTCTCAAACTGAAACGACCTAGTATAATCTGGTTCAATGTTTCGAATGTCTTTCGTGAAGTTCCCAAGATCCTGACATAGGGAGGGTTGGTTATTCCAAAAGCTTCTTCCGGCAATATTCTCTGAGTGTACAAAAACAGCCTTTCTCCTCAATCTTTTCACAGGATTGCCATTCTCATCATGCTTTACAGTTTCTTCCACCTACATGAGGGTGAGGGTAAATGAAAGTATCTCATATTGGAAATCTACAATAAGTCTGAGGTATATGGCATAAGGAAATTTTATGCTGAACATGAATCAAGATGCAATGACAAGAGAATATCTGAAAAGCTTTTCATTATATGAAGAAGATAACACATATTTTCAGCTAGTTACATCAGTTCTGAAACCTGAACAATAACTAACATCAGGTAGTAATATCTAGTAAGGGTGGTAAAAATTAACATTTAGAAAAACGCCTAAACATACATGTGCCCCAATTATGTTGTTCAATAAACAGATATTACTAACCTAAAGACTCAACTTAAATCGGAAGGTCTAGAATTATACATACATACACAGCACACATCAAAGCAAGTATAAAAGTGCTGTATATATAATTTCTAACAGAATATATAAACTATCACCTTTGCCTTGAAAAGACACGATCCTTGGCGAAAAATTTCAGGAAGCGTTTTGTAGTTGATATCAAATTTCTGAAAGAGAAGCTCATTTTTCTGCTGTTTTTGTGTATCCTGCAGGTAATCAGTGGAAATAGACAAATAGTGTGATCAATTACTAGGCATGTAGAGGACCATTTTGACATCTCCATAAGAACAACATAAAAAGTCACTAACAGCAAACCTTCAGAAACTCTTGTGTTTCACTTATGGTCTTTCCACTTTGAACTAACAGCCAGAAACAAGTGTCATACAGATTATTGACGTGGCCTGCGACCAGAAACGGAAGTTGTTAGAAGCTCCCAAAATACTTCACGGTATCTGCTGGAATGTAAGCTATTGTGAATATGTGTCGAGTACAATATTTATAATGTGAGAATGTCTTACAGTCCTGTTGTCTCCACGCAAGATAAGCTTGAAGAACCTCTGATGATGCACAAGTTACGACTTTTGAAGTGAAGGAAGGAGCATATTCCAAATTTATTTCGGGAAAGAACTCTTTCCATTTTGTTACATAGACTGCAGCAAAGAACGAAGCCACCAACGAAAAAATCTTACTGCATACAGAACAAAAACAAGAAGCTAAAATCTCTGAAGTAAACTTTCTTTTGAATAAAAATATCAATCAAATTTATTTCGAATCAAAAATACTTGGCTCGTCTCTGGTAGAATCTTGATGTCTTCTTGAATACAAAGCTACAGAAGACATGGGAAACAGTTAGAAGCATGCAATGTAATATATTCACGTATGAGTAAAAGTGTAAAAATCATAAGACAAAATGATTCAACCAAGTGAGTTTTTTTTTTGTCACCTGTATTCGTCACTGTATCCATATGCAAAGACAATGTCAGGAAACTCTTCCAAAACCGCAGCTGAACAGGAATTCATCAGATCGAGAGCTGCTTCATGATTAGGCTTCTCAAACTCATGAACTTGAGCAAATCTGTAGTTATTAAGAAGGCGAAAACGGTGTAAAAAGAAGCAAACAAATAAACAGTGTCAAAATAGGTCTAAAGAATACATCTTTCATCATTGTTCAAGTTCCAGGAACAATGTGGAAACACTTCATAATGAAAAATTGCAATCACTGCTCCAAAATCCATCAAAGACGCCGCCTTTTACTCATTCAAATATTCCAGAGAGACTAGCTTTCATTTGTTGTAAGAGTAACCTATCAGAGTCGAATACCTTTCCTATGCACAAGCTACAAACCATCACCACTGACATTTTATATACGACACTGATAAAATTTCATATCAACTGTAGCATATATGTAGATATATGTAGTCTAGCTCCTATCGTACCCAATTTAATGAATAAGAAGGAGAAATCTACCTGGAAAAATCACGACCATCGATTCGAACAACCATCAAGTTAGGAAGCATGACTTCGTCCTCCAATTCGAATGACTTGACATACTCGTACTTGCTATTCGCCATTGACCAAACTATTCCCACGGAGTGCAATCGAACCGGTTACAAAACCGAAAGCTTGAAACTTTGAAACCTTCTTCGCCGCCTCCGATTCGAGTAACAGAGCTTCAGTCACACTAGTTGGAGCCGTTCGCGTCGACTTATAATTTTGCGAAGCGGTATCGGAATTTTTAATTGTTTTTTTTTTTTTTTATCATCACAAGTTTAGTTGAAGTTTTTATTTATATACGCTCTTAGGTGAAAAAAGTGAAAACACAGAAATTTCGAAGATACACTTGGTCAATTACAATGCCTCGTTGCCTCTCTTCCCATTGACCATTAGCATATTACATATGTTTTATTAACAGAGACGGACATCTACAAATGTTCGAGTGAGTTTGTGTGTGTGTGTCTGTTTATGGACCTGTCTTAACTCTCATAGTTTACACTGTAACAAAACCCGTCTTAATAGATCAGTACATAAAGATGTATCCCAGACTTACACGGGACACTGTAACAGAGTCAGTTTCTAGGAGACTAGGACTACTCGCACGAAGTTGTAAAGAGATGAGGCTGTAGAAGAATCAGAGCGCAAGAAATAAGTTTTTATGTCAAAAAGTCAGGAATCGATTACTTGGATATGATTCAGACTCGTATTTGCATTCTCTCAACCAAGTTTGTCACAACATTCACTCGCAAAACATTCACCTAAGTATCCCCTAAGACACACAGCTTTAGGAAACCGTGCACACAGGCATAAAAGATGAATATCTGCAAGTTCTTTAAGCAACCAGACACCTTACACTATTTGCACCTTTGACTTCTCTCCTCAAATTTTAGGTATCAAAGAACAGATTTCTATGGCCTAACTAAACTTTTGCGTGTCTATCTGACTTGGCCATGGCATGTGGCCAAGTGGTTGTTTCCTTGCTTTGTTAAGAGATCGCTTCATTATCCGGCTAAACTCCATTCAGCAATAGACAGACGACTACAAGCTCAAGAACAATGTGGAAGAGTGTAACGCTAAGCCTGAAAATAAAGCAGCACCAACAAGGGTATGAGACAGGTTTCGAATGAAAACATGGTAATATAAACTGCGTTTTGCACTTATGATATCTTCCTCTCCAAGGGGGAAAAAAAGAGTTGAGTATCTAAAAATTACATTATTATATGCTAAGTTCTTGTGACCTACTATTATGGCCAAACCTAACTGTGGCAAATCAAAGAGAATTCTAAGCAGTTCACTTAAAATGATATACAGAAATCTAAGTACGTTACCTTTTAACTTTTGGATGACTTAGCGCAACAAATTATTCCTGGAAACACCAACGGCTTGGTTTAGCTTGTATTTTCTTCTTTTACTATACTTTTCAGTTTACCATCATTCCGTGGATTTTTTCTCTTTGCTTGAATCTGATGCACAAATGCAGCAACTATGACATGCAGCTTCGGGGGAGGCTTGGTTGTTGAAGAGACATTGTGACCAGCATCCTTTAAAGCTTTAGCAACAAGCTTTTGAGCTTTCTGATAGTGCACATTGCACAGTGCAGGAACAGTCGATGCAAGTGTAGGTTTTCCACAAAGTAATGGTCCTGCTGGAGCTCTGAATGTACAACGCAAACAACGCAGAGTTAGAAGAGAACTGCTAAAATAATCTTAACGCGCTCATTACGAATCAGCATACAAAATTTCCTATATACGAAATCTTGGTTTCACAAACTGAATCTGATGTCGATACTGTATCCATCTGAAACCTGGTTAATGTTTGATTACTATCACAGTTGGGCTATTCCAACAAAACTACATTTTTAAAGAGTTTTCCTTTCGTTGTTCAGTTGGAACTCACTTTCAAAGATGACCTAGCTATGCTAAAACTCATAATCCTACCTCTTTTGCAAAGACACATCAAAAGAGAAACTCCAAGCATAACCGGAATAACGCAGTACACACCGATCAAGGTTAAGAAAATAAGGCAAGTACCGAATCTATGAATCACTATCTCGGTCCAAAGCTAACAACTTTCTTTACCAATCCCTTTGGAAAACTTGAAACAGAGCTAAGTGTCAATCCCAAATCTGCTAGCTCGTAAACGAAGCAGTTTCTACTTAGTGAATTAGTACTTCACTGTAGTTTCATTTCATCGTCACTACAACATCTTAACCCAGCTAAAAGATGTAAATAGCATAAATTAAACTACCTATAGTTTTCAAATGCACAACCTAACATGACGATTTGACGATTTCTGCAAACTTATAAAACCTGAAAAAAGAGAAATTGAAACATACCGTTTGATGACGTTTGTGCAACCAGTGTAGAGCTTCTGCTTGCTATCCTTGAGAATATGCAGCTGGCAGTATTTCGTGAGCGCCATGGCTTTGGCTTTGCATCCATACATACAGCTCCCACAATTGCTGTTTGCATACTGATCACTCTTAACGCCATTAGCTCCATCGTTATTATTAGTACCGTTGTCTCCGCTACCTTCAACGGCGTCGCCGTCTATAATTTCTCCCTCTGGACCCAACCGCCGTCTCTTATTCGGCTGATTCTGTTCGTCCTTGAAAGGACTAACGCCGTATCTCCAGTAGTACTCCCTGTGCTGCGCCTTGAGATCCTCCATTAAAGCCCAGTAATGGTCCTTGTAGCATTTGGCGAGCTCCTTGAGGTTGTGCGATCGGCGTCGGAGAAGCTCAGGGTGAGTGAGGTGAGTGGAGCGTGCGAGGACCTGATCCTCCTGCGACATCGTAATCGGCGAATTCGACGTCGACGGTGAGACGTTTGAGCTAGGGTTAGGGATTGGGTTCCGAATTTGGGGTTCTGCTGAGGTGGAGGCCACGGCGGTGGGAGATGGAGCTACGGAAGATGGAGGCCTTGGGGGTTTCGAAGAGAAAGGGTTTTGCAGAGGGTTTTTGGAAGCTGACGCCATTGTCGTCGCCGGAGAATGACAGAGAGTCAAAATGAAAGATTTGCTTGTGAAATAAAATCAAAAATGAAAATCTTCCACCATTTATTTCTTGAATTTTGTTTTGTTTTATTCGTTTGTGGGGAAAGGCCCATTTAATTGAGAAAAGAAAGAGAAAGGGCCCATTAAAAGCCCAGTGTCCCAAACGAAGGTCTTTGACCTAGGTATAAATGCTAATATTGTGTGATAGTGATAACGAAGAAGCGTTTTCCCCATTCTCTTGAGATTACTGCTGCCTTGCTTCTCGAATTTAGGGTTTGAGTGATCGGCAGATTCACACAACCACAACATGGCGGCTCAGATTAGCAAGAAGAGAAAGGTGAATTGTGATTTTCATTTTTCTGTCAAATGGATTTCACTCATTTGCATCGAATTTGAGCTGATTACTGTAACTGTGATCTGTGAAATGTAGTTTGTAGCGGACGGAGTGTTCTACGCTGAATTGAACGAGGTTCTCACTAGGGAGCTCGCAGAGGATGGTTACTCTGGTGTTGAGGTTAGGGTTACTCCAATGAGGACTGAGATTATCATCAGAGCTACACGTACCCAAAACGTTCTCGGTATGTTGTTGAATCTATTATCTTCATTTCATTTGGGAATTGAAAGTGAGAGACTGTGATTAGATATCTTATAACAATGCTCATTTGGTACAAATTGTTGGATAATAATAGGGGAGAAAGGGAGGAGAATCAGGGAGTTAACATCACTTGTGCAGAAGAGATTCAGATTCCCACAGGACAGTGTTGAGCTTTACGCTGAGAAGGTGGCCACCAGAGGTCTCTGTGCCATCGCTCAGGCTGAGTCTCTCCGTTACAAGCTTCTCGGTGGGCTTGCCGTTCGTAGGTATTATGTGCTTTATTATTTGCTTGATCTGCTAATAGCTGCATTGACCATTGACACATGGATTTGTTAGTTTGTTAAGAATCTGTCTTCCAATGTTTCACTTTTTATTTGGTGGCAAACATAAAGATATGCATTTACATGAAATCTTACGGAGTGTATATCTTTCATGGCCACTCTGTAATATAGTTGCATTGGCAATCCGTTTATCTGCCGTACCCTCTGATTAGTGCATAAGGTTTGAGCTAGGTGCTTGCTGTCTACTTAGTATATTGACCATTGTTATATATCTGGCTTTGATGCTCTCATTTCCTCTTTGGAAGCATGATGTTAATATTGCCAAGATGCTGTTGTATAGGGCTTGCTATGGTGTCTTAAGATTCGTCATGGAGAGTGGAGCCAAGGGATGTGAGGTCATTGTGAGCGGAAAGCTCCGTGCAGCACGTGCCAAGTCAATGAAATTCAAGGATGGTTACATGGTTTCCTCTGGTCAACCAACCAAGGATTACATCGACGCTGCAGTCAGACACGTTTTGCTTAGACAGGTTTGTTTCTTCTTCTTTCGGCTTCCTTAGCCCTCCTTACTAAGTGAGAGCCGGCAAATGTCTAACTTGTGTTGAGACTACTGGTTAAAACAGGGTGTGCTCGGAATTAAGGTGAAGATCATGCTCGACTGGGATCCCACGGGCAAGAACGGACCAAAGACGCCATTGCCAGATGTTGTCATCATCCATGCTCCCAAGGAAGAAGAATTCTACTCTGCACCTCCTCAGGTTGCTGCTCCGGTTGCTCTTATGCCGGAAGATCCTCTCACAAACGTAGATTACCCTGAGATGATCCCAGTCGCTTAAAACAACCTTTTTACTACTAGTACTCTATGGGATGCTTCTCTTTTTTGTTTCAACCTTTCTGCTCCTTTTGATACTCCTAGTCGTTTCTCTTATATCCTCGAAGCAGACAAAGTTTTATCTCATGTTGTTTCTAAACTTATGTCAAGTTTTTTGGAGGTTGAATGCAAATTCCATGATTTTCCCGGCTTAATAACACATAAAGAATCACCAGTGTGTATATTAGCTTTAAATCTTCCTTAACATCTAAGTTTTAGTCTTGGAATCTGAGCTTTGAATCATCCGATACTCCTACAGTCCTACATTTAAACCATCCGTCTCTTCCTTTTTGTGGAAATGAAACACATTATCTTCAATTTGGGATTACTTTCTTTCATTTGTTCCCCGCATGTCGCAAGAAAACAATGTGGTACATCTAAAACTAATGTATTAAGAAACAGAACAATCTCTACAATCCCAGCTGCAATTCGGATCTCAGTTGTTTTGCAAGAAAGCGTGGAACACATTCAAGGAGTGTGAGATGATCTCCTTTTCATCTATCATTTTGAATAACACGATCACGGTATTATCATTAAGCCTCCTCACCTATATCAACTGTTGCATTGCATCAATTAATAACTTTAAAAAAAAAAAAAAAAAAACAGAAGTGACACCATCAGGAATTCAGGATTGAAGAACCTTGAAAAAAAAAGAGAATGTAATGTGGGTTTACAAGAGTTGCTGTGATCGCTATATTATACTCGCTAATTAGTATCTGTGCAGAAAAATGGACTGCGACAATATTAACAACATAATGCTCTCAGTATTAGGAGCTACAACATTTTTCAAAAAGGATGATTCCTACAATTTCTATAGCTCTACTCGCTTACTGTTCGGTATAATCAATTAGATCACAACGAGAAACATATATTTTCGACTGTTGTTCTTCAGCTTCTTTGTCATTGACAACACCTCGACACCCTGGGAAGCCACAGGAACATGAAAGCCGCTCATCGATTGAAAAGAACCTGCAAATTACAAGGAAAAAGGTTCAGCAAAATGATTAAAGAAAATATCTCAAGATGATCTAAAGAGGAGGGGAGGAAAATGAAACCTATAGTCATAGGTCAGCTCTTCCCATCTAGAGATATCCCTCTTTGCGAAAATGATAATGTGTTCATCCCCATTAACAGTGATGACTCTCGAATAGCAATTTGGCTGTGCATAAAAGACAAAATGCTTAGTTTCTGCATATGCTAACCAAACCGAACACAAGCAAATTAAGATAAGTGAACAAAAGTCATACCACACAGGAGTGATTAATGAGGTGGGCAATGCTTCCTGTCCTTGTAGCATCTATGACTCGCTCATCATCAATTCTAAACATGTAAGTCCCCGCACCCTAATGCATGAGAAACAAATGATTTTATCAGATATTCATTAGTTCATCAGTATCTATGATTTGTACTTTTAAGGGAATGCTATGATATACATAAAAGAACCATTTAGATTAATAAAGCTACGGTATTGTTCACAGAATCTTTGCATAAAGCATCAAACTGTAGAACGTTAGTAAGTCAGAACTACGTACCACCATTGAATTGTAGATTAGACGTTCTCTTTTGTCAGCTATTGAAGGTCTAACAAGTTCTCCAGTGTATTCAATCATCTGCACCAGAATCATGCAATATTTCTCGAGTGACACTTTCTAATGATGAAATCTCCAGTTCAAGTTAAGTATGCTCACCATATCTCCGGCTTTGTGCGGAAGCTTTGCAAAGATGCCAAAACCATGAATTGCTGATTTCCCTGAAAACAAAACAAACTTACTTTTAAGAGAAACAAAAAACTATGTAGAAGATGTTTCTGAAAGAAGCTCAGGGTTGTGATTGGATAGTTCTGAAAGAAATCGTACAAACTATTTTATCTTACGGAACTTTGAAGAGCATGTAAAATCCTTTAATATTTGGTGATAATTGAAGAAGGTTAAATGCTTACCAAATGCTAATCTCTTCCTGTATGTTTCCTTCATGTATTTATATTTCTCGGCCATGGAGAGGATGTTGCTTGGAGTATTCATCTGTGACATCTTTGATCCATGAATCCGCTGATAGGAAGAAAACGCATGTCGAGAGTAACCACCAATAACATATGGCTGATTCTCTACATATAACCGCTTTGAAGAAGCAGCCGCAAGAGCTTCAGGTTCCTTCCGTCCTCTTCTTGCAAAACGATTATAAGGCTCTGCAATAATAGAAACAAAAATTGAATTTATTATCTATAATGACCCATTCGATGCAAACATGAATAAGAGTAGTTCGAGCACAGAGATCGACGCAGTAGCTACATACCAGTCCGAGCACAGCCAGATGGATTAGATGGTGGGAGATATTCGGAAGTTTTATTAGTAACTGGTTTCATCCTGTCTTCTGATTCTAGGCAGGCAGTTGATGTTTGTCGATGCCTCTTGCAGAATGAAAGCATGCGGATACACTGATTTGCTTCTTCCTCCACCGTTGATAGAAGATTAAGTCTGTCCTCATTCTCAAGCTACAAGGACAGTCAGGAAAGCCATCAAAAGTTAGAAACATCTCTTCTGGATTTGTGTACACTTGTGTAAACACGAATGCAAAAATATGGAAGTACCTCAACACAGAGACCAGCAGCTCTCGCGCAGAGTGGATGATACGCCACACGGCAAGAATTGTTCGAACACTGGAAATTTAAACATTTCAACATTATATAAACTCATCGCTGGCCTTTGACAGTAACAGTGGCAAACATAACTGTAACTTACAGATATCATAATGCAATAATTTTAAAATGGGTACCCTTTAAAAATCTAGATCAATAAGGAAACTGTATGGGACTTGTATATAAGTCCTAATGTATCTCTACTAAAAAACTCATAGGTTCTACATTCCTTTCAAGTGAATTTTAATTAGGCATCATAGCTTCTAGAAAAGAATTCAATATATTTCTGTTAAAGTCACCAACTTCAGAAGCAATAGAAGTTCCAAAAGGGTTTATAGGAATGGTCAGAAAATTATGCTGTTTTTCTTCTACTGAAAGCCAGTAATATTGGCAGAATATTCACCAGGCAATTTCAACTAGAAAATTGTTCTGTGGGAATAGAACTCAATGCATAAGAATGATTTAGTTTTCTCTTTAAAATAGAACGAAATCTTACTTGGATACAAGCTCCATAAGATACCCCACAGATGCTGCACAGTAATTTCCAGCGATCCTAGTTTTAAGAGTTAGGAAAAAAGGAAGAGGGATAAGAGTTTTAAAAAGGCCACAGTACCAGGGTAAAGGAAACAGAAAAAGAAAATAAGCACAAACCTTATTGACTTTATTCACCCCATCAATCGGTTCCATCTTCTTCACATCAGATAAACATGTTTCTGGATAAAGTAACAAGCGTTAGAAAAAAAAAGGTAAAAGGCCTCCAAATTCATTAGCATAACACAAACTTATACAGAACAACAAATCATTAATATTGCACCTGGGATCCATATAGCACAGGCTAGATGAGCCCAGCGCCCATCAGTTGTCGGCTTCATCGCACCCCCTACTACAGGACAAATACAACACCGTGGAGGTATATCAGGAGCGTCAGGACGACATAAGTTGCATAACCACAAAGCATCATCACAGGGTTCTAGTTCTCCATAGCATCTAGCATGGACCTGGTAATGGACCAGATATTTCAAATTCAGTCACAACTAAGAGAATGAAAGAACACAAGGCACTATAGAATATAGATGTAAGAGAGATACGAAAGCTCAGAGCACGAGCATTACCATCATTCTACATTTATCACATTGCAGGAACAAATTGTTCTCATACTCCTGCAGACAAAAGTATATTAACCAGAACTAACTTAATAAAGCAAAAAAGATTGAAATTCCCTGTTGAGAAACAAAAAAAGGCATCCTTTACCTCATCCATGTGGCAGACATTGCACTTATCGAGATCTTTCCAGTCAACACGAACAGGTCGGTAACCAGTAGGATAATCTTGATGCCTTCCCAAACCAATTTTGCACATAGAGGACGGTGGTCTGGATTTTGACAAAGCCTGCTAGGTACGGTGCAACGCATATTAAGTGCAATCACTAGCGGCTAAACAATAAGGCAATGGTATAAAATAGGGAACATGCACACCGAACAGTATAAAAAGAATTTATCATAAAAGTTCACAAAATTTAGCAACCATATTGATAAGTATCTTCCTCATGAAATAATACAAACTGATATCTTCTAAGAAACCTGATTTGTTATAAAGGCTGAAGAACAGAACTCACCCTTCAGTTTTGCTAAAAACACAAGTTTTCTAACAATCACTAGAACATATTATACCCTTTAAACTGTCAGTAATTACTTGTGAAGCTGACTTCATTTATGAGCTGTTAATCTATGTCTCACAAATCATTTAAACGCAACGACAAGATACCTGTACAAGTTTAATGACTTCTGGGTTGGAGAGACCAAACATGTCTGTCCCAGATCCATTTAGTTCTTCCCCAAAAACAGTGGGACCATCAGTAGCACTTTGGACCTTTCTGATTCTGTTATATATTTTACTCCAGCAGGCCGATGGTGTATGCGCTTTGAACTGCCATAGAATTCGGTAATTAATTTTAGCAAGAGTACACTATTGATCTGAAAACATAAATAGTAAATTAGATAAGCTGACCTGCTCTCCACTATCTGCAGTCACTCTAAACAGAGGGCGAGTCTTTGACTCGGCATCTCTGAGCACTTCCATCTTGTACAGGGCAGATGCACTATGATCTGCTTAAAAAAAAGAGAAACGACTCGCATCACATTGATGAACTATCTTCAATCAACCAGATATGGAAAATACCTGATCGATCAGGAAAAGCCAAAAAAGATGATTAACAAATAACCTTTTAGTGATGTGAACTTTCTCATAGCTGTATACCCTTCAGGACATATATGATTCTCATCCTTGAAAAACTGGGAGTCTGTCACAATCTTTCCTGCAAGACAAGTCAG